GTTTCAGGACCCCACCTTGATGTTTCAGGACCCCACTTTGGGTCCCGACCCCAACTTTGGGAACCACTATGCTAGACAACACATTATTTTTAAAATCACAAATCAGTAGCATCACTGCAGCATCTTGTTAGTTTCTGTCCCACAGCAGAGCGAGCAGATCAAAGAAGTGAGAAAGATGTTTTACAGCCTCACTGTCAGGAGGTTTTCTTTACGTCACAGGAAGTCAAAGTTTTGGGCTTTCTTGATAAAAGGTTTGCCTCATAACAGCCAAACCATTTGTGGATTAAACTGTTTGTTCAACTCATTTTAAAGAGCACAGATCCATGCTCATAGATTTATTTTTGAAGATCACATTTAATAATCTTCTGTTTCATTTAAAACATAAACACAGCTGGTCGAAGGGGACAGAAAACTCAGACGTGAAATACAGTATCTTTGGACTGAACTAATGGTTTGAGCTTGCAGGAGGTACAAATTATAATAAAATAAATAAAATGTCACAAATTTGTGCAACTGACACTTTGAGGGAAACAAAAGGCAGAGTGGGAGGCATGATTTGACAAGAAGAAAGAGGAAAGTGTTTTAAACCAGTTGCCTCCGAATAAAAGTTAATTTATTCTGAAAGTTCTCTGACTCATGTGGACCACAGCGTGACATTTTGTGGGGGCTTTCATGCGRGCAGAGCTGTGAATCATATGCAGAGGTGTATAGCAGTGGTCACATCGCTTTAATGATCTGGTGTGGAAAAAAAAGAAGAAATGTCACCACCTTTTTTTGACGACACATCCTATAAATCTTTGAAGACACTCCTGTGTGCCCTCGTGTGTGATCTGCTTTCATTTGTCTCAGCATCAGCAAACAACCGTGAGGTGAATATTTTGTGAGAGAACTCTTTCAGAAATCTGTCTTCACTCAGTCTTTGAATATTTATTTTACACCTGTTGTTACAACTTATTAAACTAATACAAAATGCATCTTGTATCATTTTAATGAATGTTACTTGTGTTAAGATATAGAAACAAATCAATGGATGGCAGTGAGGCAGGCCTCATCAGATCAGCCTACTGCATGGATTTTACAGCAGCACCACATTTGAGCTAAGATGATGATTTTACACCAGAAAGACTGATGACTGATTTATTAGGATTTCCTCAATTTGGAGAAGAACCTTTGCAACAGTACAAACTCAAATGTACAGATATCACAGGTGAACACTAAACAAGATGATATGTTTATACGTGATACATACAGGGGTTAGACAATGAAACTGAAACACCTGGTTTTAGACCATAAC